CCCCCCCCCCCCCCCTCTCTCTCTCTCTCTCTCTGTCTCTCTGCCTCTATCTCTTCTTCTCCCGCCCCCTTATCCGTTTCCGACAACTGAGCTTTGTAGGATGTAGAGTCTCTTAGAGTGACAGCTGCTGGTGAAACATTCGATTGCGAAACGAGGATTATGCTAATAATAATTACGCAACAGCCAACGAAGAGATATGCGACGCGTCGCGAGATCTCGCAAGTTGCTTGCAATTTTGCCGCGCTCTATTCTACCGTGTTTGCAGCATCTTCTGCAGGATTTTCCTTAATCTAAGCCGTATTTTCTTTCTTTCAGGTATTTTCAATAACCATCCCCGGGAACTGCACGGGAAATGAATTTCACGAAAAATTCCCATACAAGGATGGGAGACACGACGTTTATCGGGAGAACAACTCGCTGGGTATGTAAAATCAATAAATTATTATTTTTACAAAATATGCCATCGTCTGCGGGTCGTGTTTACACAGAGAATTTTCCTTTAAAGGCTTTGTAAGGGTCAACGTCGTATTTTTTGTGACGCGTGCGCGCGCATCGGGGGATCACTCATAAACTTATTATTTATCGAACACACACACATACGTAACTACGTTCCTACATCTACTTTATTATCTAAGTAACAAAAACAAAAAGTAACAAACGTTAATTTGAGACAAAGTTGAAATAGATATAGTGTGTGTGTGTATGTTTAATGTATATGTGTGTGTGTGTGTGTGTGTGCGTACGTGTTATAGATATATACAGGGTGTTTCTAAAGTTACTACCCGCATTATTTCGGAAACGGTTCAAAATTCCAAAAAATCGTGAAACACGTGTTCTATTATTTCAGGGGGCTACTTTTTTTAAAGGGACGGAGGAGTTGCTCTCCCAAAGGGGGTACAAGGGGAGCACCCAATTTTAAAATTTTAAATGAAACCCTATTTTTTATTGCATATTTTTATAGTTTATCTCGAGAGCTTTTCAAAACACTATAATAAATATTTCTTCATTTTCCTCATTGATGCTTTATCTGTGCTTCAGTTGATTTAATAGAAACGCATAAATAATAGAAAAATAAGTGTAAGTGTTTAAATATTTAAGTATATATACATATATCTCGAGTATATATTACGATCTGCTCACTATTTTCCACACAAAACAGTCAATAATTCTGACATTTATGTACAATAATGTATTGTTCTTTAATATCAAAGTAGTTTTTCATTAAAACCCTAATTTCAATTTATAAGGAATTAAAACCAGCACATCAACTCCAAGAAACGCGTATAAAAAGTATCAACTTTAGCTTCAGATATCTAAACTTTCGAATGATAAATTTCCTTTTAATTACATGAGAAGGGAGGGAGCAGTTAGATAATATTTCGATCTCGAAATATATGTAGTGTGCAGGTTCCAATGAATTCATGATGAGCTCACTGTGCCTTACAACCTCCTGAGGCAGCCGTTTGGGCGTCACACTGAATGTAAAATTAACGAGGAGATGACGGCTTGGGGAAAATTTCCCAAAGTCAGACGTGGCCTCGCAGTATTCATATGCATCCATGCGGCCACTTTTGGGTCAACGGGGTTTGTAATGTTCACACGATGCTGTTCCGCAGTGTCCTGCGTCTAATTTACATACATCGGACCAGGCCGTTGGTGATCCTCCTCGATGGGGCAACGCGAGCTAATATCCGGCCGGTAAGTCGGCGCATTAATTGCATTAATTCCCGAAAGTAGCCGGGCGACCCGGCCGAGGCTGGTTACGATTCGATCGGGTCGACGATGGCCGAATATACATGCTCAAATATACATCGACGATAACACGCGAGCGAACGCGCATACGCGCCAGGGTCACCGTCGAAGCCGACGAACAAAGATAGGGTCAAGCCGACGTGGGAGTGGAACGTCTGGTCGTGAGGCATTTACATTTGTAATCGCATCGTCCAACTCGTATCGCCTAATCCGTTCATGCGACTCCGGATCCGATCGAGTAGCGGGCCGCCGATCGAACGAGGCGGACCGCGGGAGTGCTGCAACAAGCGAGGTAGAGCTATTTTTATTAATCCCGAGAGGAGAGAGCGAGGACGGCCGTCTGCGACGCGGTCTCGAATTTTCGTGGTCCTATTCAATTCCCTCCCCCTTGCGTCCGCGAACGGCGGAAAATTAATCCGCTCCCCCCACTCGACCTTTATCTTGCCAAAGCTTCCATTTGTATCCTCATCTTTCTGGTTCCTCTAATTCTTATCTTCCCTAAATTTCTTAGGAGGAAATCTCAATCAAGATGATTCGCTTCGAGGCGAGCATGAAAATACCGCCATTCCAAATCACAGGAGCGAGTGCTTCATTTGAGGGTGTTTTCTTCATTCGCACGTGAGTGAATGTTTTGATCGGTCCAAGTTTTGCTTCTTCTGTCAATGAAATACATCAAAATCTCTAATTTTGAATTATGAAGCGTTCAGTAGATACGATAAGAGGTGCAATATAAGGGAGAAGTCGCTCGATCTCGAGGTTTAACTCCAACTTTGAGAAGTTTCTTAATTTACACGAGTGAATGTTTTAAGCAATCCGAGCAAATTTTGCTTTCTCTTATGACGGAATACATCAGATTCTCCAATTTTGAATAATGAAATATTCACTGAACACGATATACAAGGTGAAAGAATTCATTTCGCAACATGAAGGAAAAGTCACTCGATCTCGAGGTCTAACTTAAACGCAGAGAGGATTCGTAATTTATGCAAGTTTATTAATATTTCAACCAATCAAAGTAAATTTTGGTTTCTCCAATGATGAAGTACATTAAATTTTTTAATTTCGAGTGGTAAAATAATGGTAAAATAGTTTGAAATGACTCGAGATGAAAAAATGCGTTGCAATATGCATGAAATGAAAAGCCATACGATTTCGAGTAACTCGGCTGTTATTTACTTTTCGTATGGAATTTCACTGAAAGTAATTTAGAGAATATCTAGAGAAAGCGAGAGAGAAAGAGAGTTGTTCTTCGAAATTGCTGTTAATTTTTCCTAAAGATGTTTGTTTTATTCCGTTTGAGCTCCACGCAAATAAAAAAGAAAAAGAATTCACAATTTTATGTAATTCTCAATACACCGTAGAGAAACCCGGAGCGCGTCATCGTCACTTGTTTGTCTACGCGAGAGAGTTCTCTCACGTTACTTGGGGTTAAAGATACGAAAAAACTCGGCTGTTACGTCATTGTGCGGTGCCTTCACTCTTTATACTTCCTTAAAAGTACGAGTAAATAATCAAGATGGATCCTCGCGATAAAAGAGGAAGAAGAGCAAAGAGAGAGAGAGAGAGAGAGAGAGAGAGAGAGAGAGAGAGAAACAAAAGGTGGAGAAGAGAAAGAGACAGCGCCTCGTATAACGCGGCAATTAAAATTGCGCCGCATGATACTGCATCGGAGTTTTGTCATCAGCCAGGCGAAACATATAAATATTTATTTGCGATAATTAAATTTCGCCGCGCGCGCGGTGTTGCGCGAAACGATGAAACGTCGCCGCCATTGTACATCTCTCATGTAACACGCATCCCCGTAATTGAGCGGTGCCAATTAACTGACAGTTATTATTCATATTTAATCTTGAGTTATCGTCGTTCGATCGCTGTGGTAGTTTTTTCTTTCTTTCTCTCTGTTTCTGTCTCTCCTGCCCTCTCTCTCTCTCTCTCTCGGCCCTCGCGAAATATTTTCGCGACGCGCGCGAGAAAAAGAGCGCGTTTCGCGCACCCGCCCGCGCTTCAGCTAAAAATCAATAGCTCTTGCGAAAGCAACGGCCATGAACGAATGATATAATCGAGATTTATAGTTCGGTAGCTTTAACGTTTTATAATTCGTCGCTAACCGTTCATACTTCGAGCAGTGCGCTCTCGCACGGCCACTCACACACGCGCACACACACACAAAGACAAGGAATTCGTTTCGCTCGCGCGCGACAAACGTTTTCCATTTTGAAACTTTTAAAACGTCGCGCGACCGCACGCGAAGTTGAAGTATGCGCGCGGAAAATATTCGAAATACACTAAAGCGTCAAACCGACGAGATTTTGTCGGGCGAATAAAAACGCGGCGGCCGTATGCAGCGCTGGCGACGGCGAAATTATTGCCACTTTATTAAATATCGAAACGCGCGTTTCGTTACGAATAAGGAAATATCGTCACGCGCCGGAGAGGCGAACAATTTTTAGATATGTGGGCGACAACAGATATCTATAAAAAAATATACATATATAATAATGAAACGAAAAAAACGACGAATTATGTCGTGCATGTCGTTAAGTGAATTAAACGAATTAAAGCACGCATTGAGCTTCCAATTGCGCGAGTACTGCAATTCGGAAAACGTACAAACGCAAGTCTTACGCGTACACGCGCAATTTCGCGCGCACTCAGCTGCATTCATCGTTCGTCGTTTTCGGCGGCCTCGTAACGCTAACTGCCCCGGCTGCGGTTTCTAGTTACGACTTATATCCCCGTTCTTTCCCGTGGAATTTTTTCATCCTCCGCGATTATTAAAAAATACCTCCAGCTCAAGGATTAAGTAGATAAATATATTAGGAGCGCGAGCGCGCGGTGAAGCGGCCACGTCGCGTTTCTCATGCACTTATAAAACACTTCCGGCCGGATTATAATTTCAAATAAGTCCCGCGAGAGACGAAGAAAGAAGAGGCGCCGACGGCACCCTCCGCGTCTCTCGCTTCTTTTTGAAAGAAGCAAAAGCGCGCAGAAGAAGAAGGAGGAAGAGAAGGAGGAGAAGGAGGAAGACAAGGACAGAGAAATCACTACTTCGCGCGAAGATCTTTTCCTCATGCGTCTACAGGAAAAGGAACGCGCGACCGACATAATATCGCATTCGAATACAATAGGCGGCTTATTAGCATTTCGTACCCTCGGCGGACCCCTATCACCTTTGACCCTTTTGACCAAACGGCTTCCACGTGGACACGAGAAGCTTCACGGAACGGCGCGTCGCACGCGTTCCCGGCCTTTCTCGGCCCGAGTCTTTCGCAACAGCTTTCGCACCTGCTTTGAATCGCTTCTACTTCTTTTCTTCTCGGTCTGGCCGGCAGCCCAAGTTGACGAGCGAAAAACGTCGCGAAAAAAGCTGAATTTGCCGGGAAGTTTGTACGCCGCGTCGGCGTGTTGCACGTCGCGATATACACAGGGTGTCCCAGACTCTCCTCCGCAATGTTTGTGGGAACGGAGTGAACATGATAAAAGTTGCATATCGTTTTGCGATAGGAAGACTAAGGCAGAAAACGAGACGTAAGCGTCGTAGTCGTAGATGTAAAGTAAGGCACAGAAAAACGTAAACATAAGGCTAATAGCCTTTCATGACTTACGTTTTTCTCTGCCTTACTTTATGTCTACGACTACGACGCTTACGTCTCGTTCTCTGCCTTAGTC